TCTCTCTCTCTCTCTCTCTCTCTCTCTCTCTCTCTCTCTCTCTCTCTTTCTCTCTCTCCTCCCCGCCCTCCCCTCCGTCACGCCCCCGGGCGTAATACATTTAGTGGTTGCACACAACCGTACTGGACTTGTCCCGCCGCTAACTTATCCCCGATACCGTCAGCTGCGTATGTCTGTCAAGTTAATGTCCCTGATCACTACGAACGTATGGACACCGGTTTCGAATGGCGTTACGAAAAATGGGCCGCGACTGCGTTCCTGAATTGCAGTCGCCTCGATGTAACGACGTGATTTATCGAGCGGTCCTGTTTTACGTTGGCCAAGAAGATTAATATTGAGGGAAATGGACGTGAGTATGATTACACTGTCCGTGTGTACTAAACGATATTTACTTGAAGCGATCGTATGTTTAATATGCAGTCAAAGTGAATAAGTAATTGAATTAAGATATCATACATCGAATCGAAAGGTTTGCAGAGTCGCATGTTGATTTTCAAGTCACGAAACAGACTGTTTGGAGGAGCTTCTTCTTCGAACGGATGTCAAAGAGTAACAAGTCTGGGTAACGATACAAAAGCGACGGTAGTATCGTACGATCCTTTTTTATCGAACGACGCAATTTTCTTTCGGGAGGGAAAGTTCGCGTCTTCCACCCGAACGTATTTCGCAGAGGTAGCGTCGATTTACTATCCTTCGTACTTGTTAGACTTTTTTGCGGGCAACACAGCGAAGTGGTGATTCAATTGCGAACGAAGTCGCGGTCGGGATACGTACGCGGTCCACCTTCCTTCGATTTATTTCACCGGCCCTTCACCCAGGGGTGCGGCAACACGGTGATCGATCAAAGATAGGGGATCGATGGCTCGGTTAAAGGCGTACCAGCCGGTTCGATTCTCACCCTCCTCTGAAATTTAGGAATATTTTGCCTCATGGTCAGAAAGAATGAAGAGTGTCGAATACACTTCAAAGAGAGCATTTTCAGCATCAAGTACAAGATACCTGTCAGTATCTCTATTACATAACTGTGTTTATGAATATATTTGCGTCGATAAACCGACGCGGCGCTGAACTGCACACTGCTTGCATCTGGCTAGAAACCAAAGTTGATGAAAAATAACATCCGATAATTGTGTGCTGTGAATTAATGTAATTATCATCACATATTAATTTGATATTATATATTAATTAAATATTACAAAATATTTGCGTTACATTCACAGTATTTTTATCGTAATTAAAACATCTCGGTTATTTGCGGTCACAAATTTAAAAAATTGACAACTAAATAAATAAATACCAATAAAAATAATTCGCATTCCCTAGTTTTTTATCGCGCAGAAATATTTCGATGATAATCGACAAAGAATGAAGATGAACGAATTCCCGGTGGGCTCGCCGCGCCTATTCAATTTAGACCATCGCGAATTGTCGAAATAATTGATCGTTGCTCTTAATAGGTACTACCGTTCGCGAAGAACGTCATTGAATTCTCGAGATACCTACAGCACGTCGTAAAACGAACGTCTTTCTTCGCGGGATGCTTGCGAGCGGGTATTCATCCAGTCGTTCAGGGATCTCCGAGTAGGAAATGAAGCTTCCTCGCTTTAGAAGGTTGACCAGAGTGGGCAGTGCCCACTGACGGAAGTCCCAGTTGCAGCACAGTTGAGCAACGCGTCGATGGGGACTCCGGAACATCGTCGGATCTTAATTTCGGCGTGACATCGTTAACGTTGCAAAAACGTCCTCACTTGCAGTTAACGACAAACTCCTCGTGTTCTCATTAACATCGTATCTTAACGATGTTCGCGCTCTCCCTGACTTCCAAGCGGTGAAACCGGGGAGAGTACGCGCTCTCTATGACCCGCAATTTTGTTCAGTGATATTTTTCCAAGGCCTGCACAAGCAATGTGCTGAAGAGAATTTTGCCCCGAAATCATCGTTAGCAAACTTAGTACATTCGTTTAAATCAAGGGACGCAAAAAATGATCTTGTTTTTTGAGAAAACTAGTCTCTCCACTGAAATCCTATGTCGGAAACACCGAAAAATATACGCGGTAGTTTGCTCTAAATTATAACAAAATTAAGATTTTCCTCAGAAGTAACACGGATGAACGGAAAGGACAAAAGAGTAGTCTGTCGAACGCGTAAGGTTTCGAAATAGGTGTCGTACGAGCGATTTTATTTAACGACGTCCTGGATCATAAGCTTACAAATTGCGCGCAACGCGGTAAGCCATCAAATTGCATGCGTGCTGTAAAACGTTATTATGCGGAATAACGCGTCACGATAACGATAAAAGAAGATTCCGAGTCTTTTCACGATACGACCGTTAAATCCGCTCATATTTTACTCTATTGTGAAGTTGGAGACTCGGTCGCGCCGTGGGGATGGGAATAAACGTTGGCAATGACAACACACAAAAGGGTCTCGAGCCTCATGAAACAGTAATAAGCTGTTGCCGCTCTGCGATAGCCGTGCTCGCTTTTGGTATTCCTGGCGTGGAAATGAAGATCCTCTCCGTGTTGCCGCAGACCGCCCGCTCGCAAGTCGGTCAGCAAACGACGGTGGAAGTCTCGAAACTGGTTTGTCAGATAATTGAGATCCACCAATGGGAATCCGAGAAACTTGGAGAATCCCGGCCGACGGACTGTAACGATCCTGTGTACCGGCGGACTCGGAGATTTGCCGAGGTGGTATTTCCAGCAACAAGATTTAATGGAAAGGCGAGAAGGAGGAGAATGAAGAAACATCCTCCCGCCTCGTGTTCTATACGTTTTCTACGTGGTCATTGATTCCTACGAGCACGGAGCGCGAGACAAAAATTCCGGGCACGTCATGTCGCGCGGTAATGCCCTCACAAAATTAAGCGGGTTTTTAGCGTCTCACGATATGGGCGGAGATATCGATATGTGTGCAGTTCTCGATTCTCTAGCGTGGGGTACTTCAAAAGAATTCCGTATATCTTGTGGTTCAATGATTTCTCCTCAATCGCATACAAAGCGAATCTTTCGAACGGAAACTCCCAGTCATCCGGAATTGATTCCGTCGGTACTTCCTCCGGGCGAACCTGTTTTCCGCGAAATAATGTGAGTATAATGCCGAGCGACCCTTCTTGTGCGCGCGGTTATTGCATTTCATTTCGGCTGCCGACTTTTTGCTCTCCTTTGAACGATCGTTCGGAAAAATACGAGGCGAAGAATAGAGGGCAATCGCATTGAAGACAACGACGAAAATTATAGAGGACTTATTGCGGCTTTCTTATTATAATTGCGAGAGAGAAGAGAAAACACTAACAAATCTCCATTGCAGATTTTGTTTGCGACTAAAACAATTACGTTCGCGACGTAGGTAAAGCAGCATAAATAATGGGTGTTTTAAAAGTAAAAAAAATCGACGTAAATTGAAAATATTGTGCATGCGATTCTCTCCCTCATTGCAGAGCCCGTGACGGAAATAGCCGGCGGTCCCGATCTGTTCATCAACAAGGACAGCACGATAAATTTAACATGCTACGTGAGACACGCGCCAGAACCGCCGTCGACGATAATTTGGAGTCACAACCACCAGGTAAGCCGGTCTTACAATCCGCGAATGAGGTTTCTTACCACCAGCTGAAAATCAGCTGTCATCAAGTTATGAAAGGTGCTTTCAACCCGCGAGACCCATTTGAATTTTATAACCGACGCTAGTTTTGTGGACGGACTGTCACTGCAAATACCGATACAAACAGAAACATTTTTCATGTTTCTCGTGGCTGTTAAAAAAACCCTGCAGCTGTGTACGTGTTTCTATCAGCGTAGCGCGTATATCGATTATCGCTGGTAGCTTGCTTTCATTCCTTCGAGCGTGCGATATTTATGGAAGACGCCAACAGCGACTTGTTTTCTCGACAAAATGATGTATTTCCGTTCGAGCACCGCAGAATCCGCAATTAAAAGATTCTCATGTTTACGCCTTTTTTTATCCGCGGTATAACGCAACTATTCTCATTATACTACGAACACTGCAAATATGCTATATTTATACACATAAACGTCTTAAAATGACACATTTGACTAAAACTCTTTTTACATGTTTCTTCATGTGTTAAGTTACATTATTTAACGTTTAATCGTATTAAATTAAAAGTTAATACGTTCAATCGTGTTAAATGACGTGATTTAAAATAGCAAGAAATGTGTAAGAAGAGCTTCAGCTAAAGTAGATTTACATTTAGATTTACAGTGATGATACAAATTGTCATCTCCATTAAATATATCAAAGTTTCTTTCTCAATACCGCGAGACGATTCAGTTGTTTAAGAACATTGTGAAAGTTTCTCGGGGAGTGTAACATAGGCAGACGGCCGGGTTATTAATAATAAGCAGACAAATGCTCTCGTTACGTTACGTCAGTTTTATTTGAGTTTAAGAATTTCACGATTGCACACTCATTTCTATGAACGCGCATACAACAGGAGTAACCAAGATGGTTGTACAGACGTCGCTTTAAGTTGTAGTTTCGGGAAACTTGTCCGGAAATGCTTTCAGCCATTCAAAGAAGACACCTACAGTCGACACTTTTACCTCTTCCACTTCCCACAAAGTGCCTTGAGTCCCGTCTGGTCACGTCACAGACAGACGATATGACATCTGTTTCTGTCTTCCGCGTGAAAGCAATTTACTTCTGGATCGGTTAATTACTCATGCTTATATCGCTATTATCCACGGCAATTATCTTATCAATTAAATAGATATGTATATAAAATACTTGTGATAAATGAGTGTGATATCGTAGCATTAATTAAAATTTTCCATTTATTTGAATTTGTCTCTCTTAATTGAATTTTCGTTATATAATATTCGTTATTAATATTTATTTTAAAACTTTATATTGTAGTTCTTTTTAGTCAAAATTATTATTAATTTTTCTTTCACCAACATATGCGGGAGCATTCATAAATCGAACAATCGTGACCGCAATTTCTGCCGGTGTCAATTAAATATGATCAAATATGATTAATTTAAAGGTGCAATAAATTCTGTCCTAATGAAACTTATAAAACAAACATATACAATATATTGTGTAGCCGTTTGGATCATTAATTTTATCAATTATTGCAAAATTTAGCATTTGTGGTTATAATGAAATTACAAATGAAATTTGAAAACAGAATTGTTACAATAATGCATTGTTCTTTGGAGAACATAGAAAATATAAAAAGCAGCGATTTATTCCTGAAAAGTTATGTTTTCTCTCTCAGTCTCTTAGGCTTAAACGAGATCTATTTATTGTAATCAGCATGAATTGTTTTCTTATTGTTTGAATAATTGTTACAAATGTTTAAGTTTGTTAAACGTTTACATGTTCAGAAAGATACGCAATTTAAAGTATACTGTATAAATCTTAATTAGTGTTCGTGATATTTTCATAATTACGATCGCGTGATAAAAAGACGCATTTTACGTCGGAACGGCGAAGTCAGGAAATGAAAGTAGCGCCTAGAAAAAATCCTAGGAAAAACGGATTTCTGTCATGGCAGCTGGGAACACATTCTGTCGACACTTCCTGCTTCTTCCTTTCCCGCAGAGTGGCCCCATCCGTACTTGGTCACGTCAGAGGCGAGTAACCCGACGTGTTTTTTATATCCTTTTTCCGCAGGCGATTAACTTCGACTCGCCGAGGGGTGGCATCAGTCTGGTAACGGAAAAGGGACCCGTGACTTCGAGCCGTTTACTCATTCAGAAGGCGATCGAGAGAGACTCCGGCCTTTACACGTGCTCGCCAAATAACACTCATCCCAACAGCGTACGGGTCCACATAGTCAATGGTAAAAGAAAAATGTCAATTTCGCTTAAAATGGGTTTTACGTGCAAGCATCTGCACGTTACTCGTTTGGATTTGAGTGAGACGTTGCTTTTAAAAAACGGACTCGCTAAAAAATCGGCGATGCGCGTTGAACAAATAGATATTTCGAAAATCTAATAACAATTTGTAATAATTTTTATTTTATTGCAAGGTAATATAAAAATACATCGTTTTACGCAAAAAAAAACGTAAAATTAATATTATTACGTAAATTATATCATTCAGTTAATTAATAATTATGAGCGTCTAAGGAAATCACACACACACAATCGGAGTTTCTCTTTTTGAAAATAATAAACTTATTCAACGAAAGCGGTCTTTAGAGTACCAAATACTTTCTTGAGCTATAAGAAAAGGTGTCTCGCCAAAACTGCTTAGCTTGTAAACGTCAAGTGGGGGGGGCTTCTTCGCTCAAAGCGAGAGCTCGCGTTCTCAGCCCCGCGAAATTATACGCTCTAAATATACCACCTGCTGAGAGCCGACCGAGCGAAACGACATTATAGCGTGGCATTTGTTTCAGAAGAACACCCAGCGGCAATGCATCACGGTAGAGGCGACAGAATGGCCGCGACGCTGCTTCCGGTCGTCCTACTTCTTCGGATGATATTCTAGCCGACGTTATGCACTCCAGGTTGAATGCGCGCGAACTTAAGCACGGTCGCCTTAACTCCCACGAAACCATCGGGCGGAGATTCTGTTTCGCGGTTTTGTCTTCGGGGATTCAACTCGCTGCGACGCGACGCGCATTCGACGCATTCGCCTCGCGGAAAGTAACGGAATCTCATCGTAAGGGTTTGCTCCGCGACGTCGCGTGTCTCCTATTACGTCGTTAGAGCATTAGACTGATTGGAACGCATCCGCGTTACGGAAAATCCAATTGTCCCGTCGCCACCGCCTGGAGAACGTGAGTTAAAATAAATATTTATTAGGCTAGATGTATCCACAGAGATGAGTTGCGGATAACAACTATTGAATATATATATTTAGTTCTGTGTGAATATATGGTCAAAAAAAAGAGAGAGCAAAAATTTAGCTTAATGGCCAAAAGATTTGATACAAATAAAAAATATTTTTTATTAGGAAATGTTAAATTTATCCAAAGATATTTAATCACCGATTTTTGCTGCAGTAATGTGGACAAGTGAGAGAACTTGTCTATAATAATTTTTAACACGGTTAGTCGAGTGAACTCGCTGAACTTTCACGGCACTTTCAAGGTCGTTGTCATTTTGCGAAAAAGAACAACGTCTGGGTTCTTGCCCCACTGCGGAAACAAGTACGAAGTCTTTTTCTGTTCCGGTAAAGAACTCGCGAGTCCGTTTTCGTCGTCTGGAATCTTTCCTCACTTTCCGAAATAAGAATCGTCTGCGAAGAAAGAAGATTTTCGCAAATTCCATACTAATATAACGCGTGACCTAAAAACGATTCAACAAACACATTTCTATATTTATTCAGGTATTTACGAAAGAAGATACAGCAATATAAAGAATATATTGTAAGAATCGAAAGAATCGCTTTAAATATTGGCCGCGATATTAAGTAAATTTAAAGAAAACATTTCCTCGCATAATGTTCGAAGAATTTCGAAAATCGAAAAAGTAGATTGATTCGCAGAGTTAGACGAGCGCAACGCTGCGTAAAATTATGTATAGATAAGATGCAAAATTTGTCAAAACATCAAATAGAAGAAACATGTACTCTCGATACATTAGGGCCTTATTTTTAGTAAAAATAAACTGACGTCTATCATTTGCAGCAGAAAAGCTTGAACATGAACACAGTATTCATTATTGCAGTCATTCAATTATTGATTGCGTTCGATAGACCCGAATGTTCGCTCTATTCTCGTTGCAACTATCAACAATGTCTCGGCTGTGACGAATTTCGGGTATATTCCGACGTAATCTTGTTGTCGAATTATTGATTGTCGCGCAGGAAACAAATTGAAAGCTCTCAAAAAACAGAATTTCAATAATTGTAAATACGTCAAGAAAGAAGTTATGATATAGCGAAATTTTATGAAATTAGAATGTGAAAACTGCAACGCGTCAATATAAGAACGAATAAATTAAAAAATTATATAAATTGACTCTAACGTAAATAACAGATGTCGAGAATATTTATTGGAAAATTGAATTAATTGCTTTTATTTGCTTTGATCTTCTCTAACAAGATCTAGCTAGTATTCTATTTCTAAAAAATTTTTTAAATAAATTATCAAAAACTATAATTTTATTATCTTTTAAACATTAAAACACAACAACGTTAAAACAAAAAAAAATTGTGCTATATTAAAGCGTGTTATACTTCAGAAATCAGGAAAAAATAAATCTCGGATAATATAATTAATATGAGAAAAAATGTTTTAAGGACAAGTGTATCGAATTATATGGTAAATATGTTTGAATGAGCATGCGTCTCTCTACATATCGGATGATAAAAGTCGTTCAACTTCGGAAGTAAGGATAGACGCGCTGACGGCCTGCGAAACGCATAGAATCTGAAACTTGGAAACTGCGCGCGAGAAAGCAATGACTTTCATGCAGATACGTAAATATACAATGGAGCTCTTCCGGGCTTCGCGGCTGGGGCGACGTATCTACAGGAAGAAAGCAGGTTTATTCGCCGAACTTATAATGGCCCGACTTCGAAGCGGATTTTATCCTCGTTACGGTTACCAGTAAAAACGTATTGTTCGAAAGTGCATTAGCTCTCGGGGATTCGAACACGTTGCGCCGGGACGATCCCAAGATTGTTTCGTTCTCCGCCGTAAAAGAGGACTGGCATTGTGCCTCTGCAGTGCAACTTGGCAGTATTGTTGCGTCGGACATGTACCTCGCTTTTTCAGGACCATTCAACGAAAACGTATGGCTTCGATAACCTCGGTGATATCCTTGTCGCTATTAGCGCCCAAGACCGAATGTTTCTTCTATCAATGGGACCATATAATCGGAGCGCGTTGGTCCAATCGCGAATAATTCGCATTAGCAATTCATTCCCGGCGTGCACGTTTAAGAAAACGGTCCTATGGTTGCTGTATATATTATATAAAAACGTGGTTCTAATAATATTTCGGTGCCAGTCTTTCAATTAGCTTGTAACGACGCCGAAATTCATTATACTTCGAAGATGTCACGTATAATGCATACACGGGATACGTTTTTATAGATGTTAATATATATGTACGCGGCTAAGCAGACAAAGAAAATGATTGAAAGGGACTAGATTAAGTGTTATTTGTCATTCTCTATAGATATCTTTTTCATAAGTCTGTACATTTTCGCCGAATTAGTGTTGCGAATTGTGTCGAAAAATTTTATTTGCCATATTGTACGCATTAATAAAAGAACAAAAGGCACTCAGAAGCGAGTGACGGATCGTGCATGAACGACCTGCATTAATCATATTTTTTTTTGTTAAATGCATTCTTACACCGGATATATGAATCTGGGATATTGTCCCAATAACTCGTTAATCACGATTTTTCTTAATACTTCGTCACATTTTAAAGAAACAATTTTAATTAATACTTGAGTTAATGGACGTTAATTACCCTCTTTTAGCAGAAAGGGCTCTTTCACGCCTTTTTGTTCGCTTCTTTGTTACACGAGCCGGTTACCTCTTACTTAAATTTCACCTGTCCCGACCGCATCTCTTTTACTTTCCAAACCCCAAGAGTTTACCTCTCGCGTTTCTATCCACGAAATCAGAAATGTACGTAATGGTCTAACGTTCTCTCTCTCTTTATGATTTAATAATTTAATAATATTGTTGTGTTTATTTTAAAGCAGGACTACGATTGAATAAAAAAATTAATTAATTGTTCAATAAACATTATAATTATTAAGAATTAATATTTAAAATAAAAATCACAGAGAAAACAATTTACAATAAAATAACTTCCACAGCACATCGGAGAATCAACGATCTGCAAAAGTGTAAGTATCTTTAAAGTATCTAAAGTTGGTATTCTTATTACGCATACAGTATACATTCGCAGTGTATTCGATAATCGATATATGTATAAAGTTCAATTCTGTGTAATTATTTCCATAATTATTATCTTCGTATAACACAAAGCGGAGCTAGGAGGAAACTTTCCGTTACCAGGCAATAATTTCCATCACAAATGTAATTATTAACGCTGTCGGCCATTATACATATATGGTGCAGTTCATTATATGGGAATTAATAAATTTAATGACAGTTCCGCACAGCGTGCGTCATATCGCGGTGCAGCCAGTAGCAACGCATTAGTATAGTAGCTCCATCAACGAGGCACGCATCCAATTGGAAAGTCGATAGACTCTGTTACGTGACACGCGATCGTACATTCCGTTTCACAAGCTCCAGATACAATGCGGGTGTTTTTTCATATTTTATTTCTGAGTCACGATGCGTATTTTTTATGACTGAGCATAAATTTCAGCGACAATAGAAACGTTCAGTGGTGCAACGTAACGCAGTGGCGGTTCAGTGGATCGAATATCAAAGTATCAAAAATATATCAAAGTGAGTATTACATCTGAATGTGTGTGTGTGCGTGTATGCATGATACCGATATCACCATTCAATCAATGGATTAATAAACGTAACAATTTATCCGTAAAATAAGGTCGCGTCAGATTAAAATTTTTTACTTTAGCGGAGATCATATTTTTAACGTATTTTGTATAATATTTTGTCACAATCCGGATTAATACCGTAACTGAAATATTACGGTGAAATAGAAACTATGTAAACGCGGAAACCGCGATAGAGAGACTTAACAATGACGTAAAAACTGAAAGCAAAATTTAAAAATTATATCGCTAAAAATAAATCGATTTAGAAATTCGCTGCAATTTTAACTCTTTCACTACGACGTGCTGATATAATCTTCCACCATAGTTTTGATGAGCTAACATAGGTTCGATTAGCGGTGCCGCTATCAGCGGAACGTATATGAATCTGGAATAGATACTCGTACAAACAGCACGGTAATTCCGTCAGTACTTGATTAATACGATAGCTCAATCGTATACACATACACATATTGAATCCAGTCGAAACATATCGAAATTCCTATATCTATATATACGCGTAACTGACGTTGGCAGGTCATAACTACGCACGTGTGTTGCATTGTCGAAGTAATCACGTATATCGCATTGTCATAAGTATCCGTACGAGCGAGCAGACTCTAATGCATCAGCCGGAATGAAGAGGACCGTTGAAATTGTACTGCTCCAATTAATATCTAAAGCGGCAGATAACTCACGGCCTCGCTCACCCGACATTCGAATTCTATGCGTAGCAGCGGAGCTTTTGGCGAGGAGGGGGAAGGGGGGCGGTAGAGAGAACAGTATTTCGAAGGCCTCTCTCTCTCTCAATGGTTGTTTCACTTCGTGTTATTTCGAGAAACTCATCCGCGGATAACGATAAGCAAATGTTTGTCCCGGAGTTAGTAGCGGCGCCTAATCCGAGCCACGAAAACCGTGACAAACGCCAGAAGGAAAATCGATATAAATGTAAATAATTCGCAAGACGCGGCTAGCAAACAATTAGCGCTCTCTTGTCATCTTACATATTCATTTCGAATTTTAGCTTGGCTACCATAGCAAAAGTAATTACCCTCGTAAACACGGTAGAAAGATCAACATGGTACTGAAGTAATTGAATAGGGAATATGTTTGTTCTTCTCGTGGTGTTTCAACATTTGTTGGTCGTGAAAAAAGGAATAAAAGCTTGGGTTTTCCGTCACAAAATATCACATGTTAGTAAACGTTATATTATGAATGTAATTGTTGAATTGGACAAAAATTGATAATTAAGTTAACATGAGAATAAACGCGGAAAATAAAATACGTGAAATTTATTAACATTATTATTACGATAACAGAGTTAACAATATTTTCGTATATTAATACGATAAAACCGCGAAGTTGTATAAAAATTTAGTATGCAAACTGCGTATGGAAATTATGTTTAATCGTCTGACATACTTAAATGCAACGTCAAATTTAATTTGCCACCTTCAACGAAGGTAACGAGCAGACTTTGGTAAGTACTTATATGTTAAATTATTCAATCTCCGCCCCGTCACTCAGTTCAACGCGTATTATGCTTTATGATGCGATCAATCTGGACCAATGAGAAATGCTTTTGGTAATTATCAACGAATCATATGACTTACAAGAGTATAATGCTTTTACTACGCTGGAGTATATGCCGACATTGAAATCAGTATTAACAATCTTCCTCATTCACCGGTGCATTCTGAGTTACAGTGTTTCATCTCACCACAAGCTTCACGGACAAAGCACTTTAGCGAAATTTCATTTAACTGCGAAATTAGGCACCGCGGTTGAATTACTTTTCGGACGAAAAGCACTCGCGTATAGCAGTTTGTCAAAACGGACGGTCCTTTGACGCCGCACTCGGACGATGTAATCAGCGTTGATGAAACATTAGAGTCGCTTAGAACGTCGACTAAAAATCAAGAGACCATTATAGCTAGCATAGTTTTCTCTAACACGATGGTGGCAAAATTACTAGAATATATCTTTCGCTCGTGCGGAATATATGTATAATAATCAGTTGACATTAACAAGTTAATTATTAACAATGAATTTTAAGTGCAATATGCAAATTATTAAATTCTATTTTTCTCAAAATATGAAAATTTCCAACTAAACGGAAATTATTTTAGGCATTATTTTTGTTAACAAAAACAAAGCGTAATAATAATTAATTTTCCAAAATAATGGAAGATACAAAATATATGCAAATTATTTATATTATATCATATATCGCTAGTTTTTTTTTATAATTTTTGATATATATTTTTTAGATAATTTATTTTTTATTTAACAAAAGAAATAAAAATATAATCAATTTATTCAATTATTTCTTAATATTCTTAATAAGAGAATATTTATTATTTAAATAGGATTTTTTTTATTCTAATTAATCCTTAGAATATATATACCGCATTAAAGTATAATACGGGATATCCTAATATTTTCAAGGGAACTTTAGTGTTTTTTCTATTTTTTATATTCCGTTTTAGATACATATTCGCTGAGGTTTAAACTCCGCGTGTCGAAACTAGATCTAATAATATGGATTTATGCGAAATAAATTATGAAAATCCCGACTGAAATTACATATTTCATATTCTCGCCGACGACACGAAAACCACTCTCATACAGCCATGATTAGCATAGAAAAAGGGCTTATCTTACATCCGTCGTTTCACGGAGTAACTTTTACCGTCGGACACGGCGGATTTGTAAAGCTAAATTTAATTTGAAAAGCAGATTTATGTGCCACGCCGTGCTCTTCTTACGCCGAAACTGTTCCTCGTTTCTTAATTACGTCTCCAGATCTGCTCTTGCCGTTTTACGATTCGCATTTATCAAGAGCCTCGTAAGATTCCAAGTGAAAATATACTGCCGAGAAACAAGAGGTGGGCGGTAGAGGGAGGAAGAGAGGGAGAAAGGGGAGGAAACTACACCGCCGTTCGTTAAGACGTTTAATTTTATATGGCTCCTGCGAGGAGTCGCGCGCCCGCGGTTCTCTACGTTATTTATTTTCTCACGAGACACACACTGTTGCGGCGACCAAGCAACAAAAACTCAAATACGGTCCCGAAGCAAGCTCCGATTAATGTTTAATTACGATCGAATAGTTCTCAATCCTATCATTCCTAAACATTTTTTTCTTTTTCTACTTTAACGCTTAAGTCGTCGGAGCGTATCGAAAAGAGCGGATACCAAAGCTCGAGCGATTCTTTTTTGCAGCAGTTTAAACTTTAAATTAACGAGCGATACGTACAGAAGTAGAAACTTTTGCTTCTTATGCGATCACGATCAGAAAGATACCTTCGTCAATCGTGTAAAAAATTCCATTCTTTTATTTATTTATTATGCAGATACATTAATAATACAACGACACATTTTTATTAAAAATACGCTTTTATAATTACCGTAATCATGACACATCGTGTTCGTAATTTCGTCATAAAAACGTTAGCAAAATAGTTGAAACAGTTAATTAGTAAAGAATGAACGGTAATATCTGATGCATCTTTATAAAAAATAGAACGACATCAAATTAATATTAACAGCGCACAGCGCACAGTGCACCAGTGCTTATCGCTTCCATTAGCTACGACCTCCAAGAAGATACATTAAATACCCATTATAAAAGCTATAGATTAACTGATATCCCGACGTCAAGTCCTCGACGATGTCACCGTAATCTGAACGAGGTTTAATTACTGCGCCGTCAGCGGTTGTCGGAGAAAAAGGATTGTACTAATCGGCAATTCGATCGAAGCGGAGGGGCATGCTTCTAACGCACCGAAATAAATCTGCGGGAT